AAAAAAAATTATTTGGTGTATTTGAACGAATTCACATCAATATCCAACAATAACATAGTTATTTTCTAAAAAAGTAAGATTACCTTATCTACTATCTTAATGAGGCCGTTACAAAACTCGAATTCTCCATTACGAGAATCACCTTTGAGAGACTCTCTTTTCAGAGATACTTACGTGTTCCTATCTCTCAGAAGCTAAAACCCTTGAAACAACGGCATTAGTCTGTTGTGGTCTTTCGATGACATACCTCAGTACACCAAGAAAAATAATCATATTTTCATGGGTGGCTTTATTTATTGATTGCCTTACGCTCAGGCGCAACTTCACATGCTAGCGGCCTTATACCCTGGTAAGTAAGATATTCATAACACGTTTAAAATAGCGAAAACAGCTTTGGCTTTTGAAGATTTCAAAATGATCACCTAGCTGTAATCCACGCCCATAATTGCGCTTGACGGAACTTGTCTGTGTCAAAATCTGATACCAGGAGAATTTCCCAGACTCAATAAGCATGAAGAGGCGAACAACCTGGATACAAATATAATACATTTACAAACTAAACTGCATTAAACCATTTATATAATGGAATAAAAATTGTTTCTTCAAAAATAATATCACTGATTAATTGAGATTAAATTTTTTAAAAAAATTCCTTCTCTATTTGCACTGTTAGTGGACGATCGCAAAGTTTATTACAACTGCTGGATAAGGACTAACTCACTTTAAAGTGAGAATTGTTGGATTTAAGTTTAGTAGTAGGAGTAATATCGGCCTATCGGTTGTCTTATTGAACGATAGCATTTTGAAATGTTCTTATAGCCATATAAACAGCATTTGCCATATAAATTACTTTCTTGTGGGCATATCTGGTTAAGAAGTTACAACTATTGAAAAAAATCAGCTCTTAAAGCAAAAGCAAATGGTTGTATGATACTTCTTTTCCTCACTTATTCATATGATGAGAATGGCAAGAGTGTAGCAAAAATTATAGGCCCTAGTATTTGCGACGAGATCCGCGTTTCAAAGGATCAAACCCGTAATTACTTCAGTATCTGATCTGCTGTTAGAAAGTCTAACCCATAAGGAAAATTTCAAAACCGCATAGTATAGAGTACGTTTACCTCTTCTGCGCGCATTACCCATCCAGCGGCGGAATCTAACTTTGAAGGAGTCCAGTAAGTATAAGGATTGGCGTTATCTGGCGAGTAATATGAAACCTTTAATTATTTTATTCTTTGCATTATCCTAAGATTTACCGAAAGATACTAGCGCACTATAGCTCACCTCAAAATCTTTGGGTTCGACTTCTCCTATATGAGCTTCGATTCCATTAGGTCTGAGGATTACGTCTTGTATGAAATGATCATAAGGTCTGAGGCTGATCTGTGAATGTAATTCATGGTAAATATTCGCTATGGAAACCCTAAATTTCCTAGAAGATAAATCACTTACCTGTTCAATAATTCTTCCTAGCATCACATAACCAATGTTTGAATACAAATATCTTGATCCTGGTTGAAATTTTGGCTCGTATGATATGATGTAGAAGTCAATCAATGCTGTTCCATTGAGTCTCTTCCTAGACACTATCGGCTATATGCAGGATATTGAAAATTTTCTTTACTTAGTAGAAAAAGGATTCTGCTTCTTCACGCAACAAAAATTGTAGCTTTCTCCTAAACCGATTCGAATAAAGAAAACAATGTGATTTATTGTGAAATTAGAAGTTTTTCTACAGTAGGCTGCAGGGATCACCGCCAGTTCTGCAAAGGAGATGCTGGAAGTCCTCTAGGAAAGAATAGCAAAGGTAAAATTGCGTGGAGCGGCTTTTGTTGTTAAAAATGGTACACTGCAACAAATGCATGAGATCGGTTCTTTACTGGCGCCGCTTCAAAAAGCAACAATGAAAACCGCTCGCGCATATGTGCGACGTACGCTAATTTCCTAGTTGCGAGGACTCAGGGCTTGCTTGCGGTTCTGCTCTTAAACCGTTTCTTCAGGCGGATGGCATTAGAGCAGCCATCAAGCCTGGAGTAAAGATGGCAAGTAGTTAGTTAAGAACTCTCTAAAAAACCTAAAACATTCGTGAAAATGGAAACCTTTATTTTCGTGGTTTAGATCTCCGACGACATTTTTTCATTCCTCAAATTCTGCTTCCTTCTAGCAAACACTTTTAATGCACCGTATTCTATAGTAATACAGTAAGTAGATCAAGTCTGCCCTTCCCTTCCTTGCTAAGGCCTTGAACTTAGAGAAGAAGACGTCCAAACAAATAACAGGCACTCTTGTCCTGTTCGCAGGTTTCTGCAGGTTGCAGAGTAGACTTCGTAATTTTCTAGATTTACAAGTGCGCCAGCGGGCTTCAATTGTCTCTCCATTTAGCTTTCGATGAGGATTGTGCGATTTGAAGAAAAAATTGTGTGGGGGGTCAACTGATCAAAATTATAAGCACAGAGATTCGAGATTCAA